TAACGGCTACGTCGCTGGACTCCCACGTAGTCGACCGCGGTTCGGTCCTGGACCTGGTGGCTTAAACTCAAGCAGGGAATGTGTGCATGAATGCCCAAGATCCTAAGAGGAGAATGAAGAAGGGACTGAGGTGTGGCCATCCCCCTTAGGGGCTGATTTCTCACTTTCTGTCTCTCTGTCTCTCTCTGCCTTTCTGGAGAGCACATGCACCCTATGGCAAAAACCTCCCCAAAAAAAAGGTACAAACATCTTGGGTAAGATACTTCTCTTTATAGTGTTTCATATATCTGTAATAAAATGCTTTCTTTGATTTACAAAATAACAGATTTTGCCACTGAAAGTACCTCCAAGGCACGGTTTAGTTGACACTTTATTTTATGGCTCAGAAAACTAAGCTCAGAAATGACACAAGCCCTGCTGCTGCTGCAGTAAACTGTTGGTAGTTTTAGAGTTAACTAGTTAGTCAGATTCTTTAACAGCCGCGTCTGTCAAACATTACTTAGAAACGGCCCAAACACAAACCTAGCCTAACCTGTTGGCTTGTTAGCTCTTGTTAGATTTGATTAATTGCAGAGATGGATAATATAAACATGAAGGGATTATGTCCCACATGGAGTGGATTCCTTTTACCTTGTGAACCATGAAGTTCATTCCTAGACTACTTCTTCCCCTTACCATGTCCTTAATAAAGAGCCTTCAGCTGTCTCATTTATATTTAGATATTATGTCGCATTTTTAACCTGTACAGCACCCAAAATGTTCACCTCTAAACCTAAGTCATTTGTGAATTGTTTCCTTCAAGATTAATACCCATGTGTAGTTACAGTAAAATAAATAATAGCCATATGTCATAGAAAATATGTCATAAGAACCAGCAGGTTGCATGAATGTTGAGGTGCTAGATCCCACACGGCAAACTATGTGGTTCGAGTCCCAGACCCAGAAGCTTGAAAATCATACCAGTTGCATGTGCAAACATGCCCAAAATCCTAGAGGACACTAGAGAAGGGACTGTAGCATGTCCATCCCCACCTTGGAATGTAAGGGCGTGACTTCTCATCCTACCCCCCTCTGGAGAGCACATGTGCCCTATAGCAAAAACTAAAAGTGTCACACATAGTATGCCAAGTAGTTTGAGAATATGAATTTAATTAGTCCGAAGATAATAACTATTTTTTAAAAAGCTACTTTATTTAACTTTGTTTTAATTTGACCGGAGAGGGACAGAGAGAGAGAGAGAGAGAGAGAGAGAGAGAGAGAGAGAGAAAGCAAGCTGGCAGGTCCGGGACTCGAACCATGGTCGGACATGTGGGAGTCTAGCACCCTTAACCACCACACCCCCTGCTTCCCCCCACAATAATTCTTAAGGAGACAGTATTACTGGTACTTTAAAGTTGAAAAGACATAAATTAAATCATCTGTCCTAATTAATCACTTAGACTCAAAATGTGAGACTAGATTTAAGTTCTACAGCCTTTACTTTTAATTAGTATTCTATCACTATGTAGAAATTAAGCTTAAACAAATATTGGCTCAAGTATGAAAACCTTTGAAAATATCAGAGTTTAAAATGGAAAAATGTTAAGGGGGAAATAAATGAAGAGCTAGGGAATATATATATTTATAAAGCATTTATCCGTTATCTCATTTTAACATGATTCTGATGAAAAAGTCAATGGACCAAGGTAATTTAATGTCAAGACTCAGAGTCAACATAATTCTTATAAATCTAAATTATTCTCAACTTAGATAAAGAGGTAAAGAAGTTAAGAATGTAAGCTGGAATACCCTTATAATCTAGATTTAAGGTGACAAGTGTTGGCATTAGAGTATCAGTTATGTGGGGGGAAGAAGACACTGAAGAGAACTACAAAATAAAACTTGGCAAATGATAGAGGACTGATGAAATAAAACATAAGGCTAAATTAATGATAATTCAAGTACTTTAAAATCTGGGCAATCAAAAGAATAGTGATGCCACCAGAAGAAATATTAAGTTTGACATAGGAATCTGAACAGGAGCAAGAAAATCACTAATTTCTTAACTACCCTTGTCTACTACCCATCAAAAGCAAATAATAAACATCAAGTAGGAAAATAAGTAAACCCAAATCATCCTCTTCTACTCAACAAGTCATGGAGCAAAGATTCTAGAAAGCTGAAGAATAAAAGATATTCCTCAGTCAGTCAGATGAACCAAATCAACACTCACAACCATGGGGCCAGAAGTTTGTCATGTACGAGGCTGACACACATGGGAAGGTTCAGTTTATCATCTAGAGACCTCTCTGAACATGCTGGGTAGGAGTATGCCCATCATCCAGGGCTGGCTGAGGCCAGGGATAGATTGAAACATGAACACCATGTTGGGTGTGTGCATGTGTATGTGTGTGTGTGTGTCTCACACATGGAAGAAGGAAATAAACTTAAAAAAAAAATTCTGTAACTACTGGGGTATCCAAAGTTCAGCCTCATAGAGTTCAGTCATAGAAATAAGGCATCTAGGGCACTTAAGGGTAAGGTGAAATGCTGCACAGGTAGGAGACAAAACTGTGGAGTCAAGGGTTTAAGGCAGATATATGGGAGTCATCATGCTATGGCTGTAAAGGCAAACAGGACGAACACTGCCTTCAAGAATCTTACAACCTACTTTACAAGTATCTGTGGACTCCATCCCCACTGCCAATACCCTAATATGGGCAACCATTATTCCCAGGAGTCTTCTTACTGGTATCTATACTTTAAAATGATCTTGTTCCCTTCTAATTTATTCTTTATACTACAGATGATCTAGTGTATGATAAAAAACATTATTATAATAGTGTGATAAGTGCTAGGATGGGGTGCTAAAGGATGCTGTGGAATCATCTCAAGGGGCACTGAAAACCAGTCTGGGAGGGGCAATGAATGATTCATGGAAGAAGTTACTTAGGAGAAAAAGAACAATGTGAGCAAGACTAAAAGGCATTAGGATGAGTGTACTTCAGCAAGGAAACAGCTTCAAGTTTAAAGAAGAAGAATAACAGATTTTACAATGAAGCCGAAGATATAAGAACAGGCCAGGCCTTGTGAGTAAAATTTAAGAGCTGGAACTTTTAACAAGACTAATTCAGGAGATAATGAAGACAATCATGGGAGTGATATCAATAGATTTTTCACATAGGATGACACTTGATGCCAAATGAAAAAATGAGCCCACTAAGGGACGGTACATGAAGAGAGTAAGAAAAGAGTCAATGGTTGATTCCTGAGGAATAAGAATAAATTTTATTTAGACCAAGTTCCAAAAATATTGAATACGAATATAAATACAAATATCTCCTGTGAATCTGAGTTCAAACTGAGGGAGTTCAGCTAGCAAGTTACTGTTGTCAAAATCGATCTGTTATTTCCATTCAGGTAGTAACGGAAATCTCTACTTACTTGTTCAAAAAATTATTGGGAAACAACTTTTTTTTTTAAAGAGAGATTTTTGTTATAGGGCATATAGGCTCATCAGAGAAACAGAGAGACAGAAAGTAAGAAGTCACCCCCTCAGAGGGGACGGCCATGTTGCAATCCCCTCACCTCCATTCTCCTCTTGGGAGTTTGGGCACAAAGGCACACGCACCTGGTGTGTTTTAATCTGCCGGGTCTGGGACTTGAACCATGGGTGACTATGTGGGAGTCCAGCTATGTAACCATTATGCCATCTGCTGGTCCCATTTGTAAACAATTTTAGTTTTGGAGTAAAGCTGCAAAAAATAGCATAAATCTCTTGTATATACATCATCCAACTTCCCTTAATGATAATAATATGTTATATAATCACAGTTCAGGGAAAATTACTAAAATCAGAAAATTAACATTGGCACACCATTAAATAATTTATAGACCTTAAATTTCTTAGGCAAGTTTCTCCAGTTTCCCATTAATATCCTTTTCCTGATCTAGTATCTAATCCAGGATCTTATATTGCATTTAGTTGCCATATCTACTTACTCTCCTCTAATCTGTGGCAGTTCTTTTCTTCTGTTTTTTTATGACATCAATACCTTCTTTTTTTTGGGAGAGGTTTTTGCCATAGGGCATGTGCGTTTGCCAGAGTCAGAGAGAAACAAAGAGACAGAAAGCAAGAAATCACCCCCTGGGGGGATGGCCACACCACCATCCCTTCTCCTCCATTCTCCTCTCAGGATCTCGGACATGCATGCACACGTGCCCAGCGTGAGTTTAAGCCACTGGGTCCGGGACTCGAACTGCGGTAGACAACATGGGAGTCAATCATTGTAGCCACTATGCCATCTGCTGGTCCCTGTATCATATTTCTTCATAAATGAGTTTATGCATTTTTATATGTCATTTCTTCCTAATAATTTATTTATTTTTACATTTTCTCACAAACATTTATATATGGAACAATTTTTGTTCAAATTCCATAGTTCTTGACAGTTGATAAAAAACACTTTCAAAATTTGAAAAAATTGAATTTTGGGACCGGCAGGGGGGGTGGGGCCGGCAGGTGGCGTGGTGGTTAAAGGTGCTGGACTCCCACATAACCAATGGTGGTTCAAATCCTGGACCCGGTGGCTTGCTTTTTCATTTCCTCTCTCTCTCTCTCTCTCTGATCAAACTGGAAAATAATAATAATAATAAAGTTAAATAAAATAATTATTAAAAAATCCTGAATTTTAAAGACAATGTTTGAAATATTTGTTGTAATGTTGTTTGTGACTCTATTTTTGGCAAGAACACCATGGATAAAAAACTGTGCTCTTCTTGGTTCATCATATCAGAATATACATGATGTTGATATATCCTATTACTAGTGATTTTTACTTTACTTGGTTAAGGTAGTATCTGCCATGTTTGTTTTATACAGCTACCATTTTTTTCTCTGCAATTAATGAGAATTTTATGATGACATAATTTATGGCCTTGAAGATACATTGCTTCTCATAATTTCACTACTCCAAGCTGTAGCATGTACCAGAATTTTTCTTTTCTTTTTTTTTTAACCAGTGGAAAGTGCAATGCAGTCCCCCACTACCACAAATTATGCAGTCAATTTTCCCACATTTCGGGAAATCACAGGGGTTAGGCACATCCAGAGTATAATGGACAGGCCTTGCCCTGGGAAAACCACCTTTGTAGTCACAGTATTTCCCCTGCCAGGTAAGTATAGGATGTCATTCTCTTTTATATACAAATATTCCATTATATAGATATGCCACATTTTGTTTATTCTTTTATCAGCTGATAGATATATAGGTTGTTTCCATATTTTGGCTATTATGAATTAATACTACAAACAGGAAAGTGCAAATTTTGCGTGAGCATACAGTTTTCATTTTTCTTGGCTATATACCTAGCAGTTCAATTGTTAGCCAAACAACAATCCTATTTTTCCAAGTGATTGTACAAGTTTACATTACCACCAGTATTGCAGGGAGGTTCAAATATCTTCATATCCTTGCCAACACTTACTATCTCAATTTTTTATAACAGCCATCCCAGTATGAAGTCCTAGTTCACTGTGTTTCTTTTTTTCCCTAATTGCCAAAGGTCTTATGCCCTTTCCTGACAGAGAAGGGATAGGGAGAGAGGGGGAAAGAGACACACAGAGAGATAGAGACAGAAAGCTTCCTCCAACAAAGCGTGATTATGCTGCAATCCTTTCTCCTCTATGTGGGATCTGGCTCCCAATGCATGACAACACTGTACTATGAAACTGTTCCTTACTGTGTAGGTGTGTGTGATTTTAAGAGAGATTTTTGCTATATGGTATGCGCACTCACTGGGGAGACAGAAAGAGAACAGAAAGCGAGAAATCACTCCTTGGCGGGGGAGAGGACCATGTCACAATCTCTTCTCCTTTAGTATCCTCTTGGGATTTTGGGTATGCATGTTCGTTCATGTGCCTAGCATGAATTTTAAGCCACCAGGTATGGGACTCAAACAGCAATCAACCTCATAGGAGACCAGCGATGTAACCATTATGCCATCTGCTGGTCCCCCCTTACTGAGATTTTGATTGCATGTCCCTAATGGCTAATAATGTTAAACATCTTTCTCTTTCTGCACTCTTATTGACCATGTGCATACCTTCTTTGTAGAGATGTCTATTTAGATCATTTGTCCTTTTTTGAATTGGATTATACATCTTTCTTATTGAGTCTGTAGTTTTTCCTTTCCTTTTTTTTTTTTTTTTTTTTTTAAAGATTTTTGCCGTAGGATGCACATGCTTGCTATGGAGAAAGAGAGGGAATATGAGAAATCACTCTGCCAGAGGGGATGGCCATGCCACAGTCCCTTCTTTGTTCTCCTCTCAAGATTTTGGGCACGAATGCACACACAACTGGGCACGTTTTTCAAGCTGCCAGGTTCAGGACTCAGATTGCAGTTGACCACGTGGGATCCAGTGCCTTAACTATCATGTTACCTGCTGGCCCCATAAGTATTTGAATATTTTATATATACAAGTCTTTTATCAGGTAAGTTATTTGCAAATATTTCTTCCCTTTCTATAAAATATTTCACTAACTTGGTGTGCTCTTTGGTACACAACATTTTTTAGTTTGATGAAATCCAATTTACCTGTATCTGACATACTTGAAAAACAATTTCTGAGAAATGTTTCATATTCCTCAATTAATTAAAAAAATATATATTATCTTGAGGAATTTCTGGTAGTATGGATATGTTTTAAAAAACAAGAGTGTAGTTTATCTTTGGGCTCAGGGGAAGTGAGTCACAGAATGCTAATAAGGAGTATATTGCCTCTTCTGAGGAATAAAAGGCAGTTATTCATAGTCATTGCTTAAATTAGCCTATCATTAGGCGACAAAGAAGAGCTACATTGAAAATAGTTTTGAAAATGAAGATAACAAAGCCAAATAGAAGACTAAAGGATAGGAAAATAGTGAAAATGTGTTTCTGATGACAGGCAACAGCAACAAGACCCTTGGCAATACTGGCAAAAAGCTTTATTATACATAATGTCTGCAATGATTTCGGAGAATGACTTAATTTCTTTCCTCTCATGTTGATTTCGACAAATTTGGGAATATTAGTTTTTATACAAGTCCTCCATTGGCTATAAAGGGAAAATGCTTGTTATACTAGATGTAGGATGTATTGTAATTAATAATCTTTTCCCAATTAAGTTTTCTATACAATGGGTATATAAGCAAGATTTTTAATACTGTTCAGCCTCTTCTTAGCTGGTAATCAAGTTAAAACAGATTTATGATGAGATGAAGGTAAGCAATTAATGATGCAGTCATCTAATCATTAATGACAGAAAACATAATACTTTTGTAAGTATATGAGTCACAAAGAGGAAGGCAGTGTTTGCTTATGCATATTCCTAAATTACAGAGACATTATCATACATGTAACACAAAACTTTAGAGTGCTTTACTACCACACATGATATTTAACATTCAGATCATTTAACTTGTGTAGCAAATATAAAGATCAGAGAATTATTCTAGATGCAGCTAGCTGGTGAACCACAAGTCTAAGTAGCAGAGAATAGGTAGGATAATTTAGTTGCTTAAATCTTAAAATGACCCATCCTAAATGCTCAATTAAATAAAAGAGTTGTTTATAATTAATAGATTCAAAGTCATCAGTTGATGAAACAGATTTATTTTCTAATTCTTAAACAAAAATAAGAAAAGAACTAAGAGCAAACACTTATAAAGGGTCTACAATGTGACAGATATGTTTTAGGCATTCTGTAGAGCATACATGTATATCAGTTTTCAAACTATATAAATGGAACTAGTTCAAGTACAATAGGCATAAAACTGATTTGATCCATAGATTTCTGAACACTGAACATAGTATAGGCTTGCATGTGTGGCTATCACAGTTAGATAACATATACTAGTAGTGGCCCATACAGTGGTAGTACAGATATCCTTATGTTTGAGTTGAGAAAACTGATCTAATGATAGAAGTAACCTGTAAGGGCATATAACTAGTGAGACAGCGAAGATATGAAGTGAGCAGTCTGGCCCTAGAGTCTGTGTCCTTAACTACTTTGATATACCAAATTCTCTTACATTTTTAACTGGCTGAACTGACAAACACTACCATCTAGTCTGATTTCTTTTTCTGGTACCAAGTAGAACAAATCTAGCCCATGTACTCCAGAAAATTAAACCACAGGAAATTAATAAACCATGGTAACAGTTTTTTTTTGCAGGACTTGGTAAGTAATAGGATTGATGGAGACAAGAAGATAATTGTGTTTGAGTTTCTAGCTTTAGTTATTTGAGTAAAAAAGAGGATAAATTTTAAGGAGAGGATGCCTATTTCCTTCAAAATTTAGATGTCTTTAATGAGGTTGACTGGGGTCTAGACAGAGCCTTGTTATGAGGACAGAGACACTACATATAGTTCCAACTGGGCAATCCCAAGTAGTAATGTGGGGCTGAAGCTTCCACGGAGTCCCCACCAGGCAATGCCCAATAGAGCAGTAGGGGCGGGCTATCCTTGAGACACAGAACTGTAGAGCTACCTATGCAATGCCAACTTGGGAAAATTGCAGGAAAGGCTACAGGGAAAGCAAAAGCATGAAACGAGTCCAGAGGAGTCATGGCAGCAAGGTTGCCTCTTGCTTTGGGGGCACAAACGCCCCCGTGTTGCCAGGAAGTAGCATATGAAGTGAAAGATTATACTGGAATTTAAAGGTTTAATGTCTGCCCTCCTAAGTTTTAGACTTGTTTGGGGTCTTCAGCTCCTTTCAATTTGTGAAATGGGGAGTATCTACCCAATGTCTGTTCCATTACTGTATTGTGGAAACATAATTTTCTGATTTCACACTCTCACAGCTTGACTCTGGACTTTAAAATTGCAGCTGGAAGAAATTTAAGATTTTTGGGAGTACTGGGATGATTCTGTATGTACAAAAGAAATGAATGCAGATGGGCAGAATGATATGGTTTGAATGTTCCACCTCAAAATATATGTGATGAAATTTGGTTTTGATGGCATCAAGAGGGTTAAAGCTTAATCAGACTATGAGATTAAAATGTCTGGCTTTTGAGAGGTGATTAGGGTTAAGGTTATCAGATAACTGAATCTTGGTGGGTTTATCAATATACAGGCAGGACACAGATATGCTTACTCTGTCTTGCCATGTTATTTTCTCTGTTATATTGTTCACCAGCAAGAAGACTTTCACCACATGTAAACCTTTGGGCTTAAAACTCTCAAACTGTGAGGTAAAATGAGCATCTGTTCTTTTTTATTTTTAAAATTTTGTCAAGGGGTGCGTGTACTCGCCAGAGAGGACCTGGGAGTAAGAAAGCAATCCCTCCCCCGTGGGAGGTGGTCATGCTATAATTTCCTTTTCTTCCATTTCTCTCTCCTTTTGGGACTTTGGGCACACATGTACAAAGGCCTGGCAAGTTTTGCAAGCCACCAGGTCTGGTGCTTGAATTGGGCAGTCATGTAGGATCCAGCTGCTTTAAATACCACCAGCTTGACCAAATTTTTATCACTCTAAATTATCCAGACCCAGTTATTTCTCTTATCAGCAACAAAACAACTAGAAGGTTCACTCTTTTGAGTAAGTGAATATTCCATATTAAAGCTTACAAACCTTGAAAATCTCATGATCTGAGTTTCAGTCTAATGCCTGGATGCCCATAGGCTTCCTTCCTACAGTCATTAGTTCCATTCTGTGACCATAAAGAACAAAACCTAATACAAACTGACTTTCATTAAAATCACCTGAGGTTAATGAGCTACTGTACAATGGTCTGTTTCTCTTTAAAACAAATTATCACTAAATCTTTTATCCATCCCCTCTGTAATATGGTTTCTAGACTTATTTTTGGGTCATTCTTGTGACCATTCTTATAGGCCAACTCTTACTTTCCTTTCTTTCTGTTTGCTACAGGACACATGCTCGCCTTGCTGGGGGGGTGGCGGGGGACGATGCAGGGAGGAAGAGAGAAAGTGAGAAATCATTCCGGCGGGGGACGGCCACAATGTAATTGCTTCTCCCCCATTCTCTTCTTGGGATTCCAGGCATGCATGCACACACATGTACTCAGCGTGTTTTTCAAGGTAGAGAGCAGGACTCAAACTGCACAGTCAACCTATGGGATCCAGTAACCTTAATGTGTGGCCAAACCAACTTTTTCAATATTTCCTTTAATACTTG